GGTAACATGCACTCAGCACTTTCTGATTCCCACCCTGTGCTTCATACCTGAGTTGCTGCTTTGCTTCGTTTCCTGCCCTGTCTGTCACTATGCTGTCTGTCCCCTCCCCAGTCTGCCACATACCACGCACATTGGCTGTCTGTGCTACTTATGGCACCCATGCTGCAGGTAGGCCATCCCTACCTTAGAATATCTGTCCATCATCAAGGACATGCCAGGGAACACAAAGGCCTACATTCAAAAAGGAGTTAGCAGTGAGAAACAAATAAACATTAATTCTATAAGGTGTACCTATACAGATCCCCCAGGCCCTCACATGGGGCTCCATTGGGTTGTTGCATACTAAGAAAGAAAGGAAATCTAATCATATTATGCAGTAGACCAAATTCATTCTTGGTGTACTGTAAGCTGCTATTTTGCCATTTATGTTAATGGAACCATGCTTGCTTATGTCAGGGTTATGTTTGGGCTGTTATTTCAAAGTTTTGAAAGTATTCTCAAGTTTGCGTTTACAAAAGGAGGAGAGCATACATATATGTTACTTGCTTTGGATGAGATTTCCATGGGCCTCTCATCCAAGCATGTTTTGTCTCCTGCCACACAAGTGATGATCAAAACTTTTGTAGTGCATTATTCTATCGAGGTTTTAAAACCATATAACTAGGCCTCTCTTTTGTATCATTTCACCTGTGAATTTTAGTGCTATGAGTATAATTATATTCCATATAATTGAGCTGTTTTCAGAGCTTTTTACAAACAAATGGAAACCTTTGAAATGCTTTTCAGAATAAAGCTGTAGTTTTCTAATAAACCTTTATTATTGGTATGATTTGATTAGAAAGGAACAGTAGGTTCCCTGAAGGAAACAAAGCTTTGTTTGTAGCTTGGAGGTGTGCTGAAAAATCGTATTTTCTGTGTTCAGAAGAGCTGAGCATTCAGTGAAAATTGGAAGTGCTCATCATCTCTAATCTTCAAACAGATATGTTATTACTACATTAATAATACTGTAGAGGGGTCATATTAACATTGAGAGTCAGTTTCCCATTTTAACTAATGTTTAAATCCCCGATTCTGCAAAGGTATCTAGAATGCCGAGTGTCTTTCTGTGGAATTCCACTGTAGCGACCTTTTCGCAGGGACCTTTGTTTTGGGCATTTGTTCATCTAAAATGTTTGGAGATGTGATATGTTTTGCCTACTCCTTAGTTGTTTGTGTATCCTTAGGGCTCAGATGACTGTTTGGTGAAAATCTGGGCTACGGATGATGGACGTCTGCTTTCAACATTGCGAGGACACTCAGCTGAAATTTCTGACATGGCTGTTAACTATGAAAACACGCTGCTTGCTGCAGGCAGTTGTGATAAGGTAGTCAGAGTGTGGTGTCTTCGAACCTGTGCACCTGTTGCTGTTCTGCAGGGCCATTCAGCTTCCATTACTTCCATACAGGTAAGAGGTAACAGAATCTTTTCTTCACATTTTAAGTATCTTCCTAAAATAGGAAGGAACGATGGTTTATTGATATTTTTTGTAGAGTTGTTCACGTGGAGATCTTCCCCAGCTTGACAATAACTGAAAGCTGTTGTTACCCCATGGCCTGTGTAGCAGGCACTTTTTTTAAACACAGTTCCCTTGCACAGATGTAGGCCCAGAGCAAACTGGGTTTCACATTGGTGATATGTAAATGGAAACTATAATTTTTACACTGTTATAACCTTATAGTGAACATTGAATTAGGCTTGTTTTCATGTGCTCCATTCACATGAGTATTCTAAACTGGAATTTATACAGCCTTATATTTAATGCAAGCTGATTTTTAAGAATTTGGTGTTGTAGGACATCATTTTACTTTGAATTAACACTGTGGATTTAAAATATTTGGTTCCCCTCTCCAAGATTTTAATGAATTTTTAAGATTTGTAATTCTTTTAGATGTTTGAATTGACAGGTTGCAATAGCTTTTTCTAAAATGGGTACACAAAGTGGTTTAGAAATTATGTTGTTAAGAATGGTCATTGTTCATAAACAGCATAAGCCATTTACAAATGCCTAGTAGCTCAAGGACTGACCTTTGTCTGGACTTTGAAATCAAAGTTGAGCCCATGGCCTTTGTGCAACATTGTTGAAAAACCTCTGCTTCCTGCCAAAAAATATCTGCTGGGAAGGGGAAGATGCTGGGATTCCTACCAGAGGCTTGGCTTGTATTGTGTTTGGGTGGGGTTCCATGCTTGAAATGGGCTGTCCTAAGAGATAGTGCTCAGGTCCTGGAAAGAATGCGTATTCTGTCACTTCTTGTTACAAAAAAAGAAGACCTAGGTTACTGTCCTATTCTTCCAGTAAGAAATTAAGAAATTACCTTCTGCGTGGTAGAGTTGAGTGTCTTTATTTTGCAGTGCACACACACACATACTCCATCTTATAGTCATGGAAGTTTAGTTTCTGTAGAGATTTATTATATTGGTCTCTTAATTTGTTAGGAGAGAGTTCATGCTCTCCCTAAAAAGATTTTATTTGCTAATCTCATTTATGTGCACCCTGGCTTGTATGTAAGAGAACAAGGAAGGCAGCTGTCTTAACTGCTGTGATTTTTATTTTTAGTTTTCTCCAGCAAGAAAAGGAACAACACGATACCTCACTTCTACTGGTGCTGATGGAACAATCTGTTTCTGGCAGTGGCATGCTAGTACAATGAAATTTAAGTAAGCTTATTTGGATGTTATGATCATTTAACTAATCACCGGTTTATTTTGACTTCTAGAAAATGTGTGAAGTCAGAGCTGGGTCAGTGACATAAGGGCAGAGGATTGATGTACAATACTTTTAGAATATAGGTAAATGAAGAGAAGTCATTTGCCACATATTCCTTTGTCTGGTATATATAATACTTCAGTGAAAAAGTCTCATAGGGCTATGTTCTTGCATAGATCTATAGATGGACCCTGATTCATTTGCCCAGTACCCAATTCTATGCTTGTGTATGAGGCAGTGTGGAGTCCTAAGAAGAGAGGAGTTTTGTAGCCATATAAGTGCTATGAAATTGGCTTAGGGGGCTGTACTTTTTCCTCATATGTGCCATGACAGCTAAACCTACAAGGTGTATTGAAGGCTGTAGAGGCTTGGGCTTTTAGTTCTTTCTTTTCTTTCCCAACAAAAGCTGTAGAGAGATGCTCTCACTTTAAGCCTGTACATACTGGACCAAATTCTTCTCTTAAGATATTCATGTAAATTCCATTAACTCTAATTGGAAATGCACACATCTGTAGTTACAGGGGTGTAGGTTGTAGTCATGTTGGTCTAAGGATGTAGGCAGACAAGGTTCTTTGGGTGAATCTGATATCTTTTATTAGATCAACTTAAATAGTTGGAAAACCATTTTAAAGCAAGATTTTGGGTTCAAAAACCTTTCGTCAGGCTAAGGAAGTTTCAGCAGTTGGTGTGTGCTCTTCCTGGATGGAATGAAAACTAAAGAAGCCAGAGACTGGGTTGGTGCGCATACAAGATAGGCAGTCAGTGAAGATGTAGACTCCTCAGTCTACATCTTCACTGACTGCTTATTTTCCAACTATTTAAGTTGGTCTAGTAAAAGATATCGGATTCACCCAAAGAACCCTGTCTGCCCCCATCTGTAGTTAGAATTTGATGCTTAATGAGTGTTTGGGTTTGATAGTATTATAAACTAATTAGTGGCTTGTCAGTTTCTATTTTAAGTATGTTTGAGTTGTTGAATGCAAACAAAATATTATATAGGTTAAATAGTCTTTTTAAGTCATAAAAATAGAAAGAGAGAGTGAATAAAATTAATTTAAAAATGTATTTAAACAATGATAAACTTCCAAGGTATAGATCCTGAAATAAAGGAATTTAAAAATGACTCTTAACTTTAACCACTGTGTAATAATGATACTGCTCTTCTCAAGTTGTATTAAGGTAAAGCAATGAAAAATAAAAATGTTGTACTCTTGCATTTAGGGATCGTCCTGTGAAATTTGCTGAAAGATCACGACCTGGCGTTCAGATATCTTGTTCATCTTTCAGTTCTGGTATGTATAGGAGTTAAAGATTTTTCATGAATAACTAATTTTGGTAACAAGTTTATCATTCTTAGTAATCTTTAAATACAATAAAATATCAGCTCTTTCTGGTACAAGAAGCTGTCATAAAGAAGATACAGAATCATAGGAAAATAGGGCTGGAAGGACCCCTGCTCAAGGCTGGATCATCCCTGGCTAAACCATCCCAGACAAATGTACAGATTATGTATTTAGGAGTACTTAGATATTCTGTAGAATATGGTTTACTTGCAATTAATTTTTTTTCAAAAAAAATACTTTAAGTACACAATTAATGGGAATTTGTATGCTCAGTGAGGCTAATTCTTCAATAGAAAATCTGGTAGGAAAGATCTGTTTTGTTTTCCTTAGATGCTAATAGAGAAAATAAAGGAAGTTGTAATTGGGAAGTGTTAATTTTTTATGGCCAGATTTTGAAGTCTCCAGTCAGATATTTGTTTCACTTGCAATGAATTTCTCTTTAGAAACTGTATCCTTTTAAATTTCTGTTTATAATATTATAAACTCTTACCACAGCATTCTATAAAGTATTAGAATTTAGAACCTTTCTCTAATGCTGGCAGTGCTATAAAGCTTTATGTACACTTTAATTCATTTCTGGATTTTCTAGCAGTTGCATGTTTCAGGAAAAAAAAAGAAACTTGGTATATAATGCTTAAGTTTTTGTCAAAGCATCTGTCTAAATGGACTGCATCCCCACAAGCGGGAATGTGCATTTCCCCAGGGACAAATAACAGCAGCAGAAGTGCCACTGCTACTTGTGTCCAGGCATGCCTGTGCACTCTGGCATGTGGCAGATTGCCTTGCGTGGGATAGGGGAGGCTAGGGCCAGCATGTGAGCTGGTCCCAGCAGCCTTACCTGGGGTCCTGGGGCCTCCCAGGGCTGCAGCAGTGGCAATCTGGGAGCTCAGAGCCTGGCCAGCAGCTGGAGTGTGGCTCTGGCTCGCCAGGCTCCAGTTTCAGGTGGCACCTGCTGCAGCCATGTGACCCGCCCTGTTTTTTTGCTGCATTTTTTTTTTCTAGGTGGCAGGAGTTCCCAGTATCTAATTTTCCCTTTCACGTGTGTTGCATGTGCTTTCGAGGTGCTGCAAAGCGCACGTGTGCACTTTTCTGGGCATGCCCATGGTGTCTTGATTTGAATAATTGATTTTTCAACTTGTATTGTGAAATCCATTTCCGGACGGGGAAATCAGGGTTACCTTGACCTGTATCTCCTGCTGCTTTTTTATTTGTGACATTATCCAAGTTTCTGTGTTACATGGTTTCTTTTCTTTTTTCTCTCAGTGACATCCTCAGAGAGGAATTGAACCTGTTCCAGCCCTGGGGTACAGGAGTAAAGGTGGGTTTTCTCACTTAATGAACAGCTTTTCAATATTTTATTTTATGCCCTTTTGTTTCTTGTGTGGCCCATGCCATATTAATAGCAAGTAATGAGGCATAAAACAAAATATTGAAAAGCTGTTCATTAACTGAGAAAACCCAACTTCACTCCTGTAGCCCAAGGCTAGAGCAGGCTCAGTTGCTGTATGAAGATGTTATGGTGAAAAATAAATGCAGTGATTTTTTTTTTTTTTTTTTTTTTTTGTGCATTGAAAGGAAAAGTTGAGGCCCATCCATCTCATACACTGACTGAGGCTGGAGCCCCACAGAAAAAATAAGTGATTATGTAACTAGAGGTAATATGAAAGTGCAGGAATTATGTTGAATCCTACCTAGTCCCAGAAGGTGTTGATTTAAAAAAGAAGCCAATGTTATTTTTTTATAAACAAGTTCTATTCCAGTGAAAATCCTCAGTGTAAATCTGGTAATTATGATGCCTTAACCGTAAGACATGGTCGAAGTCTGTAACTCTTTGGTGGCTTTTTCTTACAGAAAATACTGTTTTTTTCAGGTGGCATGTTCATTGCAACAGGTAGCACTGATCATGTGATAAGAATATATTATTTGGGCTTGGAATCTCCAGAGAAAATTGCTGAGTTAGAGTCCCATACGGTAAGAGAAGAATGGGAAATTAAATCTTTTTCCATTTTTAACTTACCCAGCCATTTAGGTTTTGTCTTGCATATCCTATTTCACTTCTTTTCTGTCTGTCATAGATATGCGTGCGTGCGCGCGCGTGTGTGTGTATGTGTCTAGATTACTATAGTGTCTGCAGAAAAATTAATGCATGTGCCTCATCATATTTCTGTGAGGTGGGGAAGTGCTGTTATCCCATTTTATGAATGGGGAACTGAGGCATAGGGATGGTTAAAGAATGTGTCCAGAGTTTTATGAAAAGTCTTTGGCAGAGCAAAGAACCAAACAAGGTTTCCAGACTTCCTTCTCTCCCTTTAATTTTATTATAAATAGCTGACTTTGCTGATATTGTCCAGAAACCCCTTCAATGAGAACAGAATGGGTTAATTCTGGTCTTAATATGTGAATTCCGAAAGTCAAAACATAGCGAGAAAAGATGATTTAAAAACTCCTTTTGATTTTAGTTGAAATAAAGTAAGATTATACTAAATTTTTAGGATTTTTTTTAAGAATGTGAAAGATACACACAAATTTTGCCAATATTTATCTATATCAGAACCTCAAGAAATTCAGTTGTGAATTTTGTTAATTTTGAAGAGAACTGATAGAAAAAATAGGAATTATTAACTTGGCACCATACCTTTCCTTTGTTATTAAATGCAGTCAATAGATTTGGCATGTAGATCATGTCTCTTAACATAATAGGTTCCCTGTAAGTTTATTGATGGCAGGTTTTACAAAAACATGGATAGAGCTATTACTTGTGAGGAACTTGAGTCATTTATCAATGCAGCTGAATAGTTGTGCTTTTCATGTAAATAACATCATTAGGAATAAGACTGTGGCCTGAGGGGAACAGGTGCTCAATGCTCACTGAATTTCAGTGGGAGTTGGGAGCCCTCTCACTTGGACTCCTTTGAAAATTTGGAGTGACCAATTCAATTTAATTGGTTAATAAAGAGGCTATTCTCAGAAAAAGTGAATCTAAAAATGACTTCACAGAACACAGTGACTTCCTTTTCCATAACTTAATTTACAAGTCTAAGAATGATTTTTCTAACTGTAATTTCTTAATCTTCCCAATTTTGCTTTTTTGGATTCCACAGACTGCTGTCAGACACTGTCTGAAAATAGAAGATCAGGAACATCATCATGTGTTCTTTCTCTTTCTTTCCCCCCATTCCTTCCACACATACTCTCACATTTTTAACAGTCGTTCTGTCAGGGACCAGAAACAATACCATATAACTAAGATGACCAGTCATCTAGTGATTATATTGAATAGCAAATACATGTGACAAATTCATTTTGTGATAAGCTTAAATATTCATGAATACAGTGTAAAAAACAATGTATGTCAGGTTCTGAACAATTTAAAATAGAATTAAGGCTGGAATTTGCCAAATCTTTTTTCTCAAGAAAATAATTTAACCTCCTTTTAATAATAGGTTCAAAAATTGCAAGTCTGTCCTAATGGTTTTGAGTTAAAATGCAACCTTCTGTATCCTCCCTGGGAATTGGCACTCTCTAGTTCTTGGTAGCTGGGAAGGGCAGTTGGTCCTTTTAGCTATGTGGTTATAATAAATGTCTTGCCTCTGCTTACACAGTTTCTGGCAGGCTAACTTGTACCACCATTTTTGGCAGCACATCCCTTCTTCAAAGGGAACCTGAATAGGAACATTAACTGCTAGGGATCAACATTAAAAACACCTGAGCCGGAATTCATTCAATCTTTGCAGGTTGGTCTAAGCTGCACAGATTGAACCAATTAACAAATGGACAGAGATTCACTTCTGAATCTGGGGTTTAGGTTGTAGCCGTGTTGGTCTAAGGACATAGGCAGGCAAGGTTCCTTTGGTGAATCTGGTGTCTTTTACTAGACCAAGCAAATAGTTGGAAAAATTCTTCTTAGCAAGCTTTCGGGTTGAAAACCCGAAAGCTTGTTAAGAAGAATTTTTCCAACTGTTTGAGTTGGTCTAATAAAAGACATCAGATTTACCAAAAGAACCTTGTCTACTTTTGAATCAGGAAATGCAGTCATATGCCTGCAGTGGCTCAAGCCAGAGGCCAGGGAGTACTAGAGCACTGCTGCCAGCCACTGCCAAAGGGGAGGGGAGAAAGCCCTCAGAAAAGTTTTCATCCCTCCCTGCTGGAGTGAAGGAGGCATGACCAGGCCCCAACCCATTGGAGGGTGGGGGTTTAAATCCCCTCCCTAGCCCACACCAGGTGCCAGCTGGGGTCTATGGGTGGTGGGGCGGGGAGGAGTCCTTTCTCTGAAGCAAGCACATATTGATCACAGCAGTTTGCAGCCTCAAGCATACAACAGAGCACAACCCAAAATCTTTGCCTAAGCTAAGATACAGCCCAGTGAAACACAGTGAGAGCGCACACAACTTAGTTTAGCTTAAAATGGAATGTAAACCAAAAAAAACAAGAGAAAGCCTTGCATAAGTCTTAGATAATCCTAAGGGCAGAGCATCTCCTTACAGACAGGTATTCAGAAAGGCTTTGTTTAGGGGTATTCCCACCATTTACAGGCTCTGCTTTATAATGTAAATGTAGCTCTCTTCATTCTTTGGTCAAGCTGTCTGCAGCCCTCAAGCTGTCTGTGACCCTCTCCTGTTCCCTTACCTCCATCTCCAGCACATAGGTGCGATGATTGTGCAAGGTCTTTGCAAACACCTTCCACTTCTAAGTCTGGTCCTGCAGGGTTTGGCTCTGTGCTCACAGGTGGCAGAGGACCAGCCTGGTTTCCCAGCCTCTTCCCACTCGCTCATGGCCTTTATCAACTGCATGCTTTAGTTTCTGCCAGAGGTGGGAGGGGGTAGAGTCTTCTCCTTAAGAAGGGTCCTATCTTGTGCTTTCCTCCAGTAAGTCTCTGGAAAGGAAAACACGTTCTGCTAGGTAGGTGGGTCAATAATTGAGAAACAGTCAAAGTTGTTAGCCCCATATTGCAGTCTGGATGGCTCTTGGGTTAATGTTTTAACAAGGTGTTAGATATCTTTGCTGTGCAGGCAGTTGTTTGACATGCAGTTGTTAAAGAACTCGTGGGGATAGGGTCACCCCTACTGCTGGAGCAGTGAGGGGGGAGCCCTGACAGGGGCTGTTGTGCCCTGGCCAGGCAGACCTTGATTGGGGTCCTGGAGGGAGAGGGGAATAAATCCTCTCCCTACCCCCTTTGCCTCAGGAGGCCATGCCAAGCTGGCATCTGGCCATGCCCCCACCCCTGCTCCAGCGAGAATGCAGAGGGGCGAAGCCAGCCTTGCTCTCTGGAGCAGACAGCATAGTCCGGCCCAGGGCTGGAAAGCATGCTGGGATGCTGGGGGACTGATTTAGCTTAAACCAGGAAGGAGTCTGGGACAGAAGTTCTGTAAGCCAGTTTGACCCAAATCAGTGAAGTCTGATACGACATTCAACCAGGTTTATCTTAAACCAGTTTCAGCCATTTTGAAACTGGTTTATGAGAGTGAACTTCTGTTCTGTTACAGGTTTAAACCAGTTTCTGATCACTTAAACTGGTTTATGTGCAACTTCTGTCCCTAGCCCCAGAATCTGTCTTCTTGAGCAGCACATAGTCCCTTTGACATCATAAAGTTCTGCCCTATATGTTTGTTCTGGGGAAAATTTAACTCCAAATCCTTAATTTTTTTTATTCTTGAATTTTATAGGAAAAAACATGTAAAGATGCAATTTGACCAATTGAAAGTTCATCTTAAAGCATTAATTACAAAGATTTTACACTTAAAGAATCCTTTCTGCTTCTTTTTAGGACAAAGTGGTTGCAGTTCAGTTCTGTAACAATGGTGACAGGTAAGCAGGTATTCTGGAATTTTTCCAGTATGAATGTCACTGCAAGCTAATTTGCCAAAGGACTCTTAACTTTTCAAGATAACATGTCAAGTCAGTGACACATTTGTGAGTCTGGACACTCTGTCCTCTGTCTTAGTCACCAACGATATGCTGTGACTAACTTCTTACTTTTTTTTTTTTTTCAAAGTTCTTTAGAAAAAACAGATTAAGGACTTCACTCTTATTTAGGAGCTTCTTCACAAATAGCCCTGTTGCCTACAATGGGGTTACTTGTACAGTATATGCTGTTCAACACAAATAGGCAGGTTAGATTTTGGCTCCACCTAAGATTTTTAAAGGATCATAAAATATGCACTCGGCCCAAACAAGCCAGGCTCCTACTGTAGTACATGATGAATTTGCAGATGCTGAATATTTTATTATTGACTTGAATAGGAATGATACGTGATTTGTGTCTAGTAGGATTGGTAGCATGTCTGTACTTTTAGCCAGAATAAGAACACTGAACTCAAGTTTCTGAATAATTCCTTCTTATTAATAACTACTTCGTTAAACTTGCATGTAGTCAAAACATGGAGTATAGATTGTTAGTTCTGGCTTAAATCATATTAGAGAAAGTTTAAAGATATGTAGGTTGGCCCAGGTGTGTGGTGTTTTCAGTGTGGGCTGGTACCTTTTTGGAGGAAACTTTTTCCTTAGGAAAGCAGGCACAATGACATGTGGTGCTCTTAGAAGCACAGGAGAGTATAGTTACTGAACACGGCCCACTCTGACAAGCAGTTTCATGAGACACTTTTGCCATGCCTGCAGACCCTGCAGAGGGAGAGAGGGAAAAGAGTATGGTAATGATTTAAGTCGTTCATATGTTCAGGACTATATTTTCCTCAGTTTCTACAATGAGGTCCAAAAGGAGAGGCTACCTGTGTCCTTCACCCAGTGCTTGTTCTGTCCCTTCTTGGCAAATAGTTGGGAACAAGGAAGAATTCTTTGATATCAGGGGAAGTGTGCACTCTGCTCAGCTCCCTATTAATACAATCTACTGTATTACTGTATCTACAGTACCAAAAGGACTGAGTGAAAAGATGATTTTCTCTCTTTTTTTCTATCTTTATTCCATCATGTACTCATTTTCCCTTCTTTAAGCAGGATATTGAAATTAAGATGACAGTTTACTGGATTATATCTGTTTTAATATAAAATGGATCCCTTTTCTATATTAAACTGTATTTTAATATAACATACCTTTAATATAACATGGATAGGCCACTAGCAAAATTTGCATCAGATAAAATTAAAAAATTGACTGGCATAATGTAAAGTGCTTTCTTACAGCATAGCACTAATATTTTTACAAAAAAATCAGGATATCCACGTGGTGCTACCTAACTTAAATCTTTAATGCATGATTTCTTCTGTCTTTGGAAAATGGCTTGACTAAGCAGAAAGGCCTTTCCTTGTCCTTGAGTTCAGCAACACTGAGTTCTGTTTTTTAATGCTTTCAGTCCCAATGCTTTCAAATATTCTGTGTATAATATTCAGTAAGGCAATATTGCAATTCAGCTTTTTCACAAGACTATAGATCCTGTGTACTATTGGAGTAATGTTAACCACATTTTTGAGGTATTTCTCCCTTAAAAGTTATTGGACTTAGATTCATAGATTGATTCATTGATTGACTTTTCAGGCACAAAGCGTCATTAATGCCATATAGGAATGAAGTGCAGTAGTGTTAATGTTCCCTAGTTTGAAATAGTTCCCACTGAGCCTATGTGGTATATGGTAGGAACTGTGAGTTACAGAACTTAGAATTGTATTACAGTAGATGAGGTACTTGTGTATATATACCACCTGCTCTCTAAACCCTTATCCTTTTACTGATTTCACCTGTGGAAAGCCAGTTGCAGGGCCAGGTTATAAAACCTTAATATCTTGGCTGTCACTTCTCTTGTGTGCTGTATTATTCATACTTATTTGCTTACCTCTGGCGATATTTCTGGCCCTTACAAAAAGAAAATATAGAAATTTACAGGGGCAGGCTGAAGGTAGGGACAGAGGTCCCCTTCACCTCACGGTCTCCCCTGCTCCCCCTGGCCACTTGCCTTCTCCCCAGCCAAATGAGCCATCTTGTCCTGGGTCAGGCAGCAGCTCAGCTCTAGCTTCAGCCCCAAACCCGGATCAGAGCTGGAGCTGAGCTGCTACCTGTCCCAGGCCAGTACTTGAATCTAAAATGAGGCCTATTTTTCCCCCCATGCTCACTAGAGGGGGGGAAAGAAACCTCATCTTGGATTCAAGGAAACATGGTACTCTATCCTGCAAGACCTTTCGCATCAGAAGACAAAGGTGAATAAGCCAGAATGTCCTGATTTAATCAAATACCCCTTGGTGGGATTTTCAGAAGTGTCTAATGCCAGGTCTACACTCCTGACTTCTGCTGGAGTAGCTTTAGTACTTAGGGGTGTAACACACATTAATTAGTGACCAAAACACAATTGCTCTGACAAAAGTCAATATTGTAGATTACTGTTGGCCAACCTTTTGGACCCATGGGCAGGATGAGTGGCTTGAGGCCCATCTGTGGGCCAGATCCCATAGGCAAGGTTAGTCCATGGGCCTGATCCAGCATGGGGCCTACACTGGATCTGGCCACAGAGCAACCCCGTGAGCTGGCCAGGCTCCACATGCAGGATCTGGCCATAGAGTGACCCCAGTATGCTGACCTGGTCACACTGGATGTAGCCACTGGGTGACCCTGCGTGCTAGAGAGACCCCATGTGGGGTGTGTCACCCAGCTCACAGGTCTGGAAATTTGGTGATTAGGGAGCAGTGACAGCTGTGGATGCTGCAGTAATTTGTGTTAGTACCGGTCCCTGACTGCTGAATTCTGGACCTGTTGGGGGAGCCCTGTAGTCCAGAGATTGAGTACTACTAGGGTAGATGTTTGCTTCACTTGGTGGGATTAACCATATAATAAACCATGTAGATTTGATTGTGTAGTTTTTATCCACATAATTTTTTGGTCAGTATATTATACCAATATTACTGTTGCAAGGTCTTTGAAAGTATAGAGCTGATATAAGTGTTGTAGGGAGTACACATCCCATTGAAAATTATGCTGCATTGTTCTGATTAAGTCTACCCTTCATTTTCTGTCCAAACAACCCAAAAAATTGCCTTTGGCTCTATACTGGGGGAGCAGAGGGTGTTTACCTGATTAGGACCCCAACAGTCTTAACTTCTGTATTTGCAGTAGTTCTGTGCTTATGGTAAGAATACTAAGTTAGAACAGTTTTTGCTACAGTTTTTTGTAGTATTTTTATATATAATCCTTTGAGTCCTTTCCTTCTGTTACGTGATTCTCCTGTGGGATTTTGTAAGGGCAGAAGCTGTTCAAATTTTAATCTATAGTGATCAATGTCTATTCATTGTACAGTGCTTCCTAAAATGGAACCTAAAAACATGGGGTTGACTTTTATTCAGTGTCAACTTATAGTTGGAACAATATGGTAAGTCAGTTAAGTGCTGAAATGTCAGTATAACTGAGATCAAGACTTTTAATATAAAATGAGAAGTCCCCTTTTTAAATTAGAGGTATAAGTAAAAAGTCTTTGAAATAAAATTGGGCAGAAGTAAGCTACATAGCTACCTGGCATGGTTTGTGTTTCATCTGTTATGGGAAAAACAGATTTAAAAAAAGTAAGATGATTTATTAAAACACAATGTATAGACAAGGGTAGCCGTGGGTGAAGATATGTTGGATGAGTAAAAATGTTGCACTTCAATTGCATAAACTGTGCAAACTGGGGTATTATTTTACCATCGCAAGAAGAATGTTTCATTGATGATTTTAACATTTTTATGTAAGTTATGTTACACTGCTAATGCTGAACTTTTTACATACAACATGTAAACATTCAGCTTGCAGAGAAAGCTAGTTACTTGTCATCAAATTTGGCATGCTTCTCCCCTCTCCCCCATTTTAATCCATTAAATGTATAACAGAATCTGGACATGTATCTTTTTATCTCCTGCTGCCCTTATGAGCTTCTCAAGGGATCTATGACTATCACTTAAAAACATGTGCAGAATATATGAATTACAACATTGAATTCACTTCAAGACCATCTGCTAGCTATAACTAAATGTAATTAATGTTGTGGTATATAAACTGTTTTGTATTGTACAATATCTTATACAAGAATTGAAACCTCATTGTCTTATAATGATACTGTCTAGATCAAAGATCCACAAACAATACATGGAATAGGTACTGTAAAAATTTTAATATCTGGCTTTGATGCCAATTTGAATGGCTTTGCTACTGGCATGCTAGTTGTATCGCTGCCAGTTTTCTTTGACAGTAATTTACCAGAAAGGCAAATAAAGTTTCCGGACTAAAAACACACATACTTGGGTGCACAGGTTTAAGCAAGAAATATAGATGTATTTTATTGTACAGTGGCATAAAAAGGGTGATCTTGGTGAACTTTCCTGAAGACCCAGGTGAATACTGTACCCCACAGTCCACCACTTACTTCCAGAAATTGTCTGTTAAGGAACTGGCCAATCCTTAAGTGACAAACCCTTACTAGGAAGGGAGGACTCCACAGAAAAAGGCTTGGGCGGCACAAATGGTGATCAGACCAAAAGACACAGTGGTTTACCTTCAAAATTACATCTTTTTTCCCCCTCATGTTTGTCTACAGCTTAAGATTTGTCAGTGGGAGCAGAGATGGAACAGCAAGAGTATGGCACTATCAGCAGCAGGACTGGAAGAGTATAGTCCTGGATATGGCTACTAAAATGACAGGGTAAAAGAGTACCGTATATTATAACCTCACTTATGCATAAGAACAACATGTTCTATCAGCTAATATGCTTTAAAACTGCATTCTCCTATGTTAATTTCAGGGTGTTGCTAGACATGACAAATTATAGCTATGTCAAATGTTCTATAGGATGTGTTAGGCTCTAACCCTTACCTCTGCATGCTCCTGTAGCAAAACCATTGCAGCTTTAACCCTGTTTCATTCTGGGTTAAAGTTGCAGCAATTTAGAGAACTGCTGCAGGAGCATGTAGGTTTAACATCCTAATAACTTACATATGCTTTTGAGCAGCAGTTCCCTGTCCTCTTTACAAGTGATTAAAAATTAAGTTTTCCTGTAGTATATACATACATTGAAAATTAGATGGCCTTGTCCATTACATGACAAAAGTTTGTTGCAGATTTTAATATCAAAATTAATATGTTAACATATTGTTTCTGCAGTTTTCTTCTTTTTCTGGTTGGCAAGTCCTGTTTTATAGAAGAAGACAAAATGTTGAATTGAGTTAATCTCTTAGAAAGATTCTGTACTAAAACCTCAATTCTAGACTTACCTGCACACTTTAAAAAATGTACAGAAGAAGTGAGAGACAAGGGTTTGTCTGGGTGATACCTTTTATTAGACCAGCTGCATGGTTGGGATACATTTGGACAAGCTTTTGTTGCAATGCATTCTTCACTCTAGACCTTCAAGGCTACAACAGCACTCCAGCACTACAGAATAAATGTTTCTCTTGCCTCTCAGCAAAAGGTCTATTATCAGCTGGCATGATGTGCCCTGAAATTTCCAGGATTTCTTTATTTTTTACAAAAATATGCCCTGGCACATTGATTCTGGCACGATGGAGTATTGTTTACAAATATTAGCATTTTAAATTTAAAGTTGACAAAAATAAATGAACACATATCTTGTGTGTGATTATCTTCATAGTTGTATTATAGACACGCTTGTTTATACTAATTCAGTAATTTTGATTGAGTCACCCAGTCATTAATATGAGTACTGAAGATCTGCAAAAATACACTTACAATGCTGAATTTCAGTAGGTTATATCCTAGGAAAAATGCATGTGATGACATTCTTTAAATTTCTTTATCTAGTTGCAGTTAAATGGCAGCAAGAAAGGAAAACCTGGGAGTGCTGTCCCTTTATTTTTCCTCCTTACCATGTCCATTTAAAACATATTTTGGAATTTCATGGTTTCATCCCAAGGTCCGACTTAGTTGTAAGACTATCAGAATATGTTTTCAGTTGTTTCTCAGCATTTTTCCCCAGTAGCTTTCTAAGATTTGAAATTCTTGTTAGCTCTTCAATTACTTAAACTGCGAACAGATGTTGCCCTTGTTGTGCCAGAAACATTTTTGTGGTAGCACAAAATATGAATGAACAGACATCCTTGCACCCCAAATGACCACGAATGTGAGCTTGATGATTATTATTAATAGTATGTGCCACTTTATCATGGCAGACTTCTGTTCAGTTATGGCATGATTTCTGCAGCCTGGGGCTGCCTGTGCTCTCCAGTAGTCCCAAGCTGGGGATTTCAAGGTGCATGTTTCACAGTGCAGAGCTGTAGAAACCCATATTTCTAGAACAGGTTCCCCATTCCATGCTTACAAGTACTTTGCCCCAGGTTGGGGCCTGGTACCTAGGTCTCTTGTCCTGTAGAATCAGGCCCCCGAAGCCCCAGGAGCAGTAAGAACCTGATCCTGCAGGACGACGGCTCCAGGCAGTGTCTGTACCTGCTAGTCCATGAGGTGTACCGGGAAACATCCCAGCACAGCTGAACCTGTGACAGAAATAACATCTGTTTGTAGCGTTATAGTATTTTTTTGTGTGTGTGTGTTCAAAGGTTTTCAGTAAGTGTCATGCATTTGAACACACACATTCATAGAAAATGGAGATCAGAAAGACCCATAAGGCAATTTCATACATTTCCCCAGGCTATTGCAGTATATCTATATGTATCTTATATAGTTTTGTTTTTAATAAAATAGCTATCTAAGTGTAATTTAGGTTGTTTAGCCAGCTTGTACCCATTTGGACTTTAATACCTTACATGAGAGATTTGATAAGAAAAGAAAACCACTCATTTCCAGGAAAATATGTGGAAAAATTAGAATGTTCATTTATGAACAACAGGAAGAGAAATTACTTCTTCCTTTTCAGAGAAAGTAGAAGCACTTCAATGTAAGTTGCAATAGCATAGAATATTTTCTGTGCCCTGCTTTTGCTTCCACAAAGCACATACCATGACTGCATGAGCAACCATTTGTTTTCATCTGTAGTCACAGTTCATTTCCCTTTATACAGTAGTGTGACAGTAATTAATTTCAGATCAAATTTCTGCTGATAGGTTTTGCTGTATAGATGTTGAGGTATTAGTTTTAGTTTTTCAATTTCGAATTCCTTCAGGAACAGCGTGGCATCTGGGGAGGACAAGATAACTAAGCTAAAGGTTACTATGGTGGCTTGGGATCGATACGATAGCACTGTCATTACAGCAGTTAACAACTTCCTTTTGAAAGTGTGGAACTCATCCACAGGGCAGCTTCTTCATAGTTTATCGGTGAGTAAAATTACAGTGAATAATTTTAAAGGACTGTAGCTTTGTGTCAGGACATGATGAGGAATGATTAAGGGCTAAATTGTGCCATACTTAACAACATTGAGGAACAGTTTATTGCTGAAGCAGGTCAGCTGCATGCTTTTCTTTTCCCATGATATATCCTTCTGTACAACAAGGTCGCAGGGAAATGACTTGAGGTTGTGCTGTGCCCTAGTGATTCCTAGCTAACATAGACATCTCTAGTGGCCATAACTAGAATAGAACCAACCCCAAGAGTAGGAAGCTGAAGCTGCTCTCTTTATTGGCACTAAGATGGATGCCTGGGGTAGCTGTGTCCAGCTGTATATCTGATCATTGTTGGCAGTCCATAGATATGAGGATGACTATATTTAATAAAATCAGCCACTGTATATGATTGAGTCAAGAGGACTAGGAACTAAATACTTAGCTGTGCAGGGAACTATTCATAGAAAGTTTAGTTTCCTTTGCTTTGCTTTCATCACAGGGCCATGATGATGAAGTTTTTGTCTTGGAAGCTCATCCATTTGACCAAAGGATCATACTTTCTGCAGGTCATGATGGGAATATTTTTGTTTGGGATATTGACAAAGGAACCAAAATTCGCAATTACTTTAACATGGTAAGAATGGTTAGGAATATTTTCATGTTTGAACAAAATTGGATGTCAGGACAGAAGTGACCCCAGTGATAAACTCACTGGGTGTGTCTCCATGAGTAGTGCATGCGTGCAGTGTGTGGCACCTCGAAGCCATTTGAGATGCTGCAAACTGCACATGGTGCATGTGTACCCATGCGTCATACTGCTAATTCGCAGCATGGCAGGGTTTTTTTTGACAGTGGGAGATCCCAGTGTTAAAAACAAAAAAACAAACCTGCTGCTAAAAAAAGCAGCTTGGGGCACATGGCAGCAACATGCACTGCCAGAAACCAGAACCTGGCACATCAGAGCCATGCTCTGGCTGCTTTCCAGGCTCTGAGTGACTGGCTCAGTACTACTGCTGCCCCAGGAACCCAAGTAAAGCTGCTGGGGCCAGCTTCCTCTACCCCACCTGGGTACTTTTGCCACATGCCAAAATACATGTGCAGGGGCATGCTTGGGGACAAATAGCAGTGGCACAAATATGTGCCACTGCTATTTGTCCCACGGCAAATGTGTGCCCCTGTATGTGCACGCTCATGGGGATGCACCCATTGTGACCAGTGTTTATAACACGATTTGGGAAGATGCCCGAGTGTGACAAATCTGCATTGTTTATTGTGTGTATTTTAAAATTATAGAAAGTCTTTCAGTAATCTCTTGTATTTGCAAAACGTAAGGGTATGATGCATCTTTTATGAAAATTAACTGAAGTTTTGTTGATCAGCTTTTTCAAAAGAAAACTTAACAGCATTGACATTAAGACTTTAGGAAAGGTAGAAAGTTAAGTTGAAATTTAACTGAATAGTAAAGGTTAAAGATAGCAAAGTGGAAAAAATAGTGAAAATCCATCATATTGGTATAAAATGGGAATTTATGTTGAACTGAAACTTAGAGGCAGAGCTACTTTGCTACACATTTTACGAAGTGGGACAGATGGAATCTTAATATTGAAGCTTGTGTCAAAGAGAAAAAATAATTTTAAAATGGACATTCTGTGTTCCCACATTGCAGATTGAGGGCCAAGGCCATGGTGCTGTTTTTGATTGCAAATTCTCACCAGATGGACAGCATTTTGCTTGCACAGATTCACATGGACATCTGCTATTATTTGGTTTTGGATGCAATAAATATTATGAAAAGGTGGGTTGGCTGCATTTGAAAAGCTTCTGCATCTTGGGCTGATTTTATGTTGGAAGTGTTTATGTTGTGGCTTTGTGTTTTTTTCCTGATGAACTTTAAATGGTAACTGGATTGTGTGATAGTCACTCATTATTTAAATCAAAATATTACACGTGCTTTAAATATCTAACAGCGAATCTTGAGGAATGAGTTTAGGGGATGACTGGCAAACATAAAAAAGAAAATAGTATAAGCTTTTTATACATTTAATTTAACCTAGTAAGGAAAACATTGCTTGTATTTTTCTACAAAACACAAAAGAAGGTCGTAACCAACTTAAGGAAGGAACAAGGGGAGGTTTAAGACCTGTTGATATTAATATTTCAAATTCACTTTAAGTTCTTTTTTCCAAAGTAGGTGGTTAGTCTCTGTCTTGTTCTGTCAAATGTAAGAAAAGTTTTTTTGTAAGTTTTCATGTGCAAAGTGAGTAGAAAATAGACTATATAGTTATTCAAGATTGTGCATTCATGCATCCGAAAAATCTGCTACTATTACACGTGCTTCTATAATTAAATGTCCAAAAAACCTTCATCAGTTAAATGATACTTGAAAATAAGGAAATAAGGATTAAGGCAACACTCTACTCCTGCTCCGCAACCTTAACTTTACCCTCTGGAGCTGGTAATGGCCACTGAAAGTGGTTTATTAAAGGTTTACTAAATACATAATGAATATTTATGAAGGACTATGAAAATCTATTGTTATTTTGGTGTTTTTTTTTAAATTGTGTTCTACGTATGGATTGAAGCATTTACTGCATGTGCTTCATTTGTACTCAGAGTACTAGATAAGTGCAGTAATGGAGAGTTGGGAGCAAGTTGGAAGAGCTGTTAGTGATTTGAGGACGGTGTACCTTGGTGATTTAAGTACAGGTCATTTCAGTGATGTGCTTGGCAGTATGCTTTGGTAATGCCCAGATACCATGTTAGAGGAATTGGTAGCCTTATGGTGACATAATTGACCTTGGTCTTTGGGCCTTAGTGACAGGTAAGTTAAGGCAGTAGCTTAAAATTCTATTAGCATGTGTGAATTCTATTGGCACGTGAAGATGTTGGAGGGAATTGTCTGGAATTAGGCTCAGTGTTTGAGTGTAGGCCAGACTGAAGCTGACTTAAGCCTGAGTTTTGCATTAGCAAAGAGAAGATGTTAGACTTTGTCCTACCATACTTGTGTGCCGAGTCAGCAAGGAGTTCTGTAGCATATGTAAATGCAGAACACTAATATGTTTGTCTTTGCATAAGTCAGCCCCCATACTGCACCAGTAATGCCCTACCTTCACGTCCACTCCACCAATGTGCCATGTTTTTTAGCACTGTTCAAAAGTAATTATTCAAAAATGAAAATGCTATAAACAAATTTCCTTTGATCGTGCCAAACAATTGTTTAGGAGATAGTTGACAAACATGAATCGTTATTATATTATCCTAACTGTTTATTAAAATTTTTACAATTATTACAACTTTTTCTCTTCCTTCTACTTAATGCTAGTTCCTTGCAAATACTGGTAAAAAACAGTTTCTTCATAGCTTGTAAAGCACTTGAAACCAGAACTCTAGATCTTGAGGCAAAACTTCCAAAAGAGCCTCTGCAGAATTCAGGCAGAGAGCAGGCAGCATGCGTGCCATCCTGAATCCTCCCAAGCACATAGCTTTAAAAGGAATCTTTAGCTCAGATGATGCTGAATTTGTACCCTGAATCCTATCCCAAACCCCTGTGAAGCACAGAAAATTTCATGACAGTCTGAACTGGTGTGTATGCCTTTAGTTCTGTTGCAAACAGTAACTAACCCTAAATGAAACAAGACCTTTGTAGTTAGTCAGGTAGAGTCTAGGATATTAATAGTAGCAATAATATTTGCTAACTAGCAAATTGCCTGTCAAGAATCGCAGGCGGGGAGGGGTGGAGTGGGGACAGAGGCCCTTCCCTTCCCCCACCCCCCCTTGGGCCAGGGCCAAGGCTGAGGGCAGGGCTGTTCCCCTCCTCCCCTCCGCCCCCCCACTGCTTTGGGCCACGGCCAGGGCTGGGGCATGCGCCGTTCCCCACTTCCCCCTGCCACTTTGGGCTGAGGCTGGGGCCAGAGCTGTTTCCCACCTTCCCCCTGCTGCTTTGGGCTGGGGCCAGGGCTACTCCCTGCTTCCCCCTTGCCACTTTGGCAGTGGTGATGGTGGCTGTGGTGGGGCGCAGCCACCGGTAACCCACTCTCTCCTTCCTGTTCCCTTCTCCCCTCCAACCCCTCAGTCCCCACTGTCTTGGTGGCACTCCAGTTCTGTCTCTGACTGTATAGGGCACTCTGGCTGCCGAGACAGCCAGTCAGATTGCGAATAAAGCATTATGGACAGACAGACTAAGGCTTTTATAATATTAGAATAGTTATTTTATTTAGTCTGTAACAGCCATGTTTTACTGGGAGTGTGAGACTTTGGTCTTCTGAAATCCTCTTGGTGCCAGGGCTCTTCATTCTTTTTCCCGCTCACCATTCTCTCCATGTAAATATTTTGTTTGCTTCTTGTTATCTCCTCTTCATTTATGCATCTTTGATCTGTATAAGATGCAACTCTACCCTGTCCTCTTCATTGTGGCAGATCTCTGGCAAAGAGAGGGCTTGTAGAGAGGATGTACAAGTCACATATTCCTGTTTCTAATTTTCTTGGGCATATCGCGCTGCTGAATTTTGATCTGTGCAGAAGTTTTCTTTGAGGATAGATTCTTGAGGTTAGAACATATTTATGTTGGGAATCTGTTTTTTGTCACAAGATGGCTCCCAGAATAGAGATAGGTTGAAGCAATTCTAAAATAGACAGACTACTAAGTGGGATCTATTACTAAATTTATTTTCATGTAGATTCCAGATCAAATGTTCTTCCATACGGATTATCGACCACTGATTCGTGATGCGAATAACTATGTGCTAGATGAACAGACTCAACAGGCTCCACATCTCATGCCTCCTCCATTCTTGGTGGATGTGGATGGAAATCCTCATCCCACAAGATATCAACGTTTGGTGCCAGGACGGGAGAATTGTAAGGATGAGCAACTCATTCCTCAGCTGGGATATGTGGCTAATGGTATGTTTTCTAAAATTCTTACATATCTGAATGATATAGAGCAACATTAGAGAAAATAACTGTAATAATTTCTGAAATCATAATTGAGTCCAATTTTAATATGGGAGGAGTGAATTACAATATGAAGGAAGCAATGGAAATCTGTAGAGTAGATTATCTCAGAACCACAGACAGAGTTGGAGTCTGATGAAGAAACTGTAGCACTCAGACATCGGTGGGCTGGGTGTCTTTGGTTCACAATGGGCGCGTATACATGTTCATTTAAGCGTGACTAAATTTAATGTGCATTAAATAATTTTTGGTACGTGTCTTCATGTGT